AAAACCTCCCTCCCTCATCAGTTTTTATTCTTTGATAGGGTGATAAACTAATAATTTTTTTTATGGGGCCTAAACCTGACTTTATTGTGGCGTGACTGTATACATAGTGTATTATGTATTATTATTATTATTATTGCCTATTATTATTATTATCATTATTATTATTATTATTATTATTATTATTATTATTATTATTATTATTTGACCTATTATTATTATTATTATCATTATTATTATTATTATTATTATTATTATTATTATTATTATTATTATCAGGGAACAGTGAAATTTCACTGTTCCCTGTTATTATTATTAGGCCTATTATTATTATTATTATTATTATTATTATTATTATTATTATTATTATTATTATATTAGTATATTATAATTATTATTGTTGTTATTATTATTATTAATTATTATTATTATTATTATTATTATTATTATTATTAGTTTCATCGCCATCCTCTTCGTATCATCATCATCGTCACAATTATCATCACATCACATACATCTTCATATATTTCCTATTGCTGATCAATTGCAAACAAATCATTTTCCGTTTATCTTCCCGTGACACCCCCTCCCCCTCCCACTCCTAACATTTCTCTCTAAGAGAAAATGGTCTAATCGCCTTACCATGACTGCACCAGATCAAGTCATATCATACATTCTCACCATCATTTAAAGTAGTACGGTATAATTATAATTAACTTTATGGAACAGTTTGTGTTCCATAGGCGTCTAATCCAATGACCGGGGGTGAAGCGCTTAGAGGCCTTGTTGGCATTAAGCGCTATATACATAGGCGTAGATCCCGGGGGGATGGGGGATATATCCCCCAATATTTGACAAGGGGGGATGGTCCATTGTATCATCCCCCCAATATTTTGACTATGTATGGGATAAAATGGAGTTTTACACACTTAAAGACTGTCACAGAAATAATTTGCACTGTCTTATGCGCTTACAAAGATGAAAATTAGCATAATTTATTAATGTTGATGACAAAATTATTTTATCTGGTACCAAACCTAAGCTCTTCTTTCCTTAGATGTTAGATGTGCTTGCAAAGAAAGCCACATTTCACACTTAAGGGTGTGCGACATCAGTAATGTTATGTCAATTCCAAGAATGTTTAAGGATATATCGGTTGATGAGGAATGTATTGATTAGGCCTATAATAGCAAATTGCATCAATATATTTTGCAAAAACAAGAATTCCAGCTTCAGAGGAGGGCAGATCCCCTGTCCGCACAAGGGCACACATTGGCGCCAACACCAGGCGCGTAACAGGGGTCTTAGGTCAGAGTGGGTACGGTAGTTATTTTCCCGGTTAGTAATTTACCGTAATTTACCATACCTACCCCACCCCACTCCCCATATAGAAAAACAATACGACATACGGTAGGGCTTATCATATTTATAATATAGGCCACACACGTGTGTTTGAAACTAAATATAAGCATTTTCATCATGGTTTTATTTATTACAAACATATTCTTTCACCATCAATGCATATTGAGGCCCTTCTTTTAGGTTAAAACGATCTTAAATTTGTCTTTCTTGAGTTTGGGACTATCATTAGGCCTATGTGTTTAAATAATAATAAAGGATAATCCTAAAAAAGCCATAAAAAATGCACGCGAAGCTCGCAAAATACTTTTGTGTTTTTTTATTCTAATTTCGTTGGAATTGATGAAAACTCCCTAAAATGTGCAATTTATAGAGGAAATTGGCCTACCGTATCAAGAAATACGAACAAAGAATTTGAGAATTTTAGGCACTTTCAGAGGACGCATTTATCAAGGGGTGGGGAAAGATTTTCCAAATTTTTACCTTGTCCCACGGTGTTTTTAGTTCTAATTTCATTGGAATTGATCAAAACTCCCTAAAATGTGCAATTTTAAGAGGAAATTGGCGCCCATGCCAACAGGAAATGCGCGCGAAGCGCGCGAAATTTGAGGTTTTAGCACTTTCAGGGGATGAAAGGGCATCTATAAAGAGGTGGGGAAGATTTCTGAGTCAAAGATAGATATTTTCCCCTTGACCCCCAGTGGTCAAGCCATCGGGCAGCATAGATCAAAGGAGTTATGACAGTTTTTGAAGTGGAGAAGGG